TTAATATTTAAAATTAATATTATTATTCATTATTAACATATTCAATTAATTTGTATTATAAATTATAACCTTATATAATTTTCCTTTATATATCCTGCTCAGTTTTTATTCAACTTTTACAATCAAAAACCTCCAGTAGAAGTAAAAGGGATGCTAAATTACATTTCATTTTCTGCTAATTCTAGGCTTGCTTTTCTATTTTTACTATGCTGTAGATTACTGTAGAAATTCCAATTTTCAGTTGTAACAGCCATTCTAAAGTGAAATTGCTTTATGGACCAGTAAAATATTACCGTGAACCCCCAATTTGCAAATTTTTTTTTGTGTGAGGACTCCCAGGAACCTCTGATATACACAGTTGGCTCCTCATCATTTCCTTCAGATTCCATTGGTAAGGAGGAAGTTTCATTCAGACAGCTTCCCAAGAACTGTTACATTGTGGAATAGACTTACTTGATCACTACAATTTTAACCTTTCAAAATCTAAGGTTAACCATTATTTATCCTACACAATATGCACCTCTTATTCCTTCCTTGTATACCTTTATAACAAACTTATACATAAACGCTCTACCTTGAGTGGCTCTTGGGCTTTGTTAGGTGAATGAATATAGATATAAAAAAGTGGGCAATAATAATCAAATTAATTTTAACTTTCTCAAAAGAAAGAAACAAATTTGTTGGTAATTTAATGAGATTCTTTTACATAAGATTGTGAGATTTATCAAAAGTGCCATTATGGTGATTTTGTAACCATAGCATAGATGTGGCACAAGGCCAAATGTATGGAGCACACAGTGAAGATCAAACTCACTATTCAGTCATAATTGATCTGGCGAGACAAGCTTACTAACCATTACACCATGTCAAATGATTTTCTAAGCATAGCTTAGATGTGGCACAAAGCTGAATGTATGGAGCACCCAGTGAGGATCAAATTCCCTACTCAGTTGTAATTGATCTAGTGAGACAAGCTTGCTAACCATTACACCAGTTGGAAGTGCCCTGAAAAGTATGTTTATGATATATGAAGATTCTGACTATCAGACAAGTCTAGATATGGGCTGTTGGTAAGGTTTTATTGTTGTCAAGTTGTTTTTATCTTGTTTATAATTTGGAGTGAGGTGTATGAAAAATTTGTTGTAACAGATTTGGGAGTAAATCAAATATCTGGGCAAATGTCAGAGTTTAGAGGAATTCGCTGTAATTGACTTTCTCTAAAATTACTAAACTCATACTCACGACCACATTTTTACCCAGATGAACAATGCAGAATACTGTATACAATTTCTGCAGTTATTTAAGGCATTACATTATTATTTTATTATACATGTCATGTAGTTATATTTAGTGAGGAGAAAGGACATTAAAAGAACACAGATCAGGAAGAGCGAAATTGGCATTGCATTTAAATTTTTGAAGATTGTAGTTGGCAGGGAAGAAAGAAACTGGAAGAGAATTTCAAAGATGAGGAAAGAAACAATTAGAATAGAACATATGGTTGCATCTAACTAGTTCAATAGTAAAATGGAGAGACCTAGTTGCCAATCTAATAGTACACTTAAATGTATGCAATCTAGGGACTAAGTTAGAAAGCTCATTAAAACAATTGCCATGAAAATATTTGCAGAAAAGACAGAGGGAAACCACATCATGGTGGTGGGAAAGTCACTGAAGTCGAGATGCCAGGTCAGGACCTATCACATTGCATATCCTTCTCTGGATTTTGTCAAGAATCTTGAGATATATAGTAGGAGTACTGGAGCAGATATGGCAGCATCTTGGTTATGACAAACTATATCTGGCAGCAAGGCCTCTGATCAGGAGGTTTTGAGGAGCATGGAACTACCTCTTAATTGATGGTATTCCCAGGTCCACCCTGAACTGGTGTGGTAGCACCTGTTAGGGTCCCAGCTATGGGAAAATAGTTAACCCCCAAACTGGGGTCAAAACACTATGAAAGTATAAAATGTTTTTTATGGTAAAAATACCAGCAATATATTTTTTGGAAAAATATATTGTGCATTGTAAAGTCACATAAAATTGTTACAGGCCCTAATCTCTGTAACGTAGTCTGGATGATGTTCATATCAGTTTCTTGCAGTTTTCTCCCCATAAAAGTTGAAGATTTTCCAGTGCAAATATTGACCCACTCTATCATGCCAAGTTTTATATTCATTATTAATATTTAAAAAAAAAAAATAGTTAAGCCTGAACTGTTTCATTCCTCTGTAAAATTTGTGATTTCTTTAATATTTGCATTAAATTAATGTTTTTTTTTTTTTTACCCAAAGTGACATAAATAAAGATATAAAGAAAAAAAAGTGAAATAAACACCATGTAAAGACTATGGGCAAAATGTATTTATTGAAGTACTTTTTTGCAATTTGATCACTTCACCCCCAAATCTTCGTTCATGAAACCAAGTTATGAGGATATTAAATCTACAAAATTAACAAATCATGTTTTTTAGTTCATTTTGGATTTGTAACTTAATGCACTAAATGTATAATTCAATAAATTGTTATTATTTCCATCCGAGGCAATTATAATTCTGTCTTTCAACTTCATTGTACCATAACATGTGTCATGTTGCCCATGTGCCTGGAAGTAGTGGGAAACTGAAAAGGAAATAGCAGCATATATACAATTTCCTAGAAAATAAATATTTTTTCTTATGGTTTGCACAAATAATGAAGAAAGGTTTAGAAAGAATTGATTGAGACATTGTGTTAACAATTTTTTGATTTGTTCTTGATTGTATTTTAGTAGTCAGTCTTTCAAGGTTTTGTTGGATATATTTATAAAATGGCTTAACATCTTTGCAATTAAAAAAATAACCACTCAAAACACCATTGCACATCTCATAAAACTATTAGGCATATGCACAATTTTCCAGCACCATTTTTGAGAAGTATAAAAGAAATTAGCAGTGGTCAAGTATTAGACATTGTATAATTTCATTTGAGAGTTCATTCTTGTGATTAAAGGAGTCCACTATTTAGTGAAGAGAGTGAAAGACTCAATACAATTGAGTTGAAGAGTTCACTTGGGTATCTATGTGAGAGACAAGGTTATACGATAAAGTGTCTAGCAGAGAATAAAAGAGAATGAGATTCTGAAAAGTTCACTCTCAAAATGTAAATAAGAATAAGAAGAATTGTCTGTAGTCAGAAAAAAGCACTTATTTTTGATAGAATATAGCTTTACTGGAGAAAGAAACTTTAAAATCATTTAAAAAAGATGCTGTAAATGATTTAATTAAAAAAAAGATTGAAAGTAAATGGTCTTTATTAATTATTAATAATGAACACTGGAGACTTTTGCACACTCTGAAAAGTCAATGCAAATTTTTTCTGTGATCGTATTTTTATATACGAGGACTGTCTGAAAAGTAACGGCACTGAAGCTATGAACATAATCTACAGCGAGTTCTTGTCACAGGGCCAGACAATCAATCAGTAAGTCTGCAAAGAAATTCTGTGGTGTTTGCTTTGCTCAGTGCACAAAAATAAACGAGAGTTGTGGCAGAACAAATTACGTCTGCCTCACCACAACAATGCACCTGTACACAGTGCTCTCAGCATCCAGCAGTTACTGGCCAAGAAGAACATTGCAGTACTCTATTCACCTGATCTTGCTTTGTGGGACTTTTTTCTTTTCTCCAAGCTTAAGGGGATCATCAAAGGAACCTGTTTTGAAAGTTTGGTCGACCCACTTTTCGCTTCCCTTGTGTATTCCATGGCCTGCCTGGTGACACTAGAAGCAGGCTTGCGGAGTGTGAGGCTTATCCATCCCCATTTCCGTTTCTTAATGTCAATCTTGATTGGGGCTTGTCTGGTCCTGTCCCACAATTGGTCATTGGAGATGACTTCCCTTGTGGATTCCAGTCAAGGGCCTGCCTGGTGACACTAGAAGCAGTGTTGCGGAGTGTGAGGCTGATCCATCCCAATTTCTGTTTCTTGATGTCAATCTTGGGTGGGGCCTGTCTGTCAGGTTGTTGAATATTGCTGCCACATCTGGTCTGGTGCTTCTGCTATATATTTAGAGATTCTTGATAAAATACAAAAAAAGAATCTGCAATATTATTGGTCCTGACCTGGCATCTCGGCTTTAGTCACTTTCCCACCATCATAACATAACTTCTCTGTGCCTTTTCTATAGATATTTTCATGGTAATTGTTCTTTCCTCTTTGGTACCTAGACTTTATGAATTTAAGTGCACTACTAGATTATTGGCAAGGTCTCATCATTTATTATTGAAATGGCTAAATGTAACCATAAGTTCTATGCTAACAGTTTCTTCTCTCACTTTTCATTTGTGAAACTCTCTTCATACTTTCCAGTCAACTTTGATCTTCAAATATTTAAATGCAATGTCAATCATTATCTTCTAACTTAATTCCTGTTCATTTTATTGTTCTCTCTCTTTAATAATATTTTTCTTTTTCTCATATTCTTTAACAAGCAGTAACCCCTAAGTTTTGGTGGCTTTATTACCTTGCTTGGAGTGAAATTATTAAAAAAAAAGAATTTTAATACTGAAAAGACTTTTTTTTCTTTTTTTTTTTTCAGTTGGGCTACCTCGGGCATTCATGAGTCTATTTTTATTGATTCAGCCAAGACATTTGATATTGAACCTTGCTGGTTGAAGTTTATAAATTCAGTTTTAGAGGCATTCATATAGAGTCCAACATCATTGGCAGCAATTTCTAGATGATGTAGGAGAACTGCAGCATTGGTAATGATGTCTGCAGTGATAGTTAAGTCATCTGCATATTTTTTTTGCAGGATATTGACTTGAGAGTCTTGGTGATTTTGCTTGGAATTAAAAGAAGTTATTGGTTTGTTAGAATTTTGTTGTGTATTGTATGAATTTGTCAAAATTCAGTTCACTCAGTATTTAACTTATTATCTGCTCACTCCCTACATAAAAAAAATACCTTCCTCCTTCATTACAACTTCTGAAATTATTTTTTAAATGGTTTGTTCCGGTTGTGTCATTCACTCTTAACATATAATAGTGATGGGTTAAGCCAGAGATCTTCTGGGAAAGTCAGTGGGTGATAGTCACAGTAGGACACAAAGAGGTGGTGGACAGAATAAGCGGGAGATTGAAAACAAGAGAAGAAGGAAAAGGAGGGATAGAGAGGTTTTAGGGAATGGGTATCGGGCAAGTAGAGAGACAAAGAAAAAAGTAAAAGGGAGAAAAAAACAAATAGAAAAGATGAAGTGAAGACAAAGGCAGGGGGGGTGCTAATAAACAGTAAAATAGAAAAGTGTGAAGAAAGAGATGGCAGATAAAAGTTTGTGTAGGAAAAGGCAAAGAAATAAAAGGTTAGAAAAAGGAAAAAGACAGAAAAGTAAAGTGAAACAAAGGAAGAGAGAGAGGAGTGAAACTAAAAAAGGAAACAGAAAAGAAGGAGAAAAAAACTTAAGGACAAAGAAAAGGAACTCTTGGTAAGAAAGTGAAAAAGAAGGAAAACTGAGAAGAAGTTAGAAGAAAAAACAAATGAAAGTTAAAAAGACATGAGCAGTAAGAGGAAAGGTGAAAGTGAGAAAAAGGACATGCACATACACAGGGAAGTCACTCTGAAAATGATATCTCATTAATTTATGCATCTCACATTATCAGCCACTTTTAATTTTTCCTTAGTCCTGGGTATGATGATAAACTACATCTGGCAGCAAGGCTTGGGAGATTGGAGGTTTTGAGGAGTGTGGAACCATTTCTTATTTGCTGTTGTTCCCATGTTCATCGTGAGCTGCCCAAACCAAAAAAATTCTGTGAAAGTATACAAATACCAGCAATATATATATATATATATATATATATATATATATATATAAAATACCAACAATATCAATTTATCTTTTGTGGTTGAAGGCCTACAATTGGGTTGAAAATATTTAAATTTCAGCATGGAATAATCCATAGAGGTTGATATGCCGCTAAACAAAATCAACTACCAAAACAACCCTTTCATGACATTAATCCATATAATATCCTATAATTTCTTAAATCAAACTGTATTCCAAAATATAACTTCAACAAAACTACAACATAAAACACACATATCACTGCCTCTTGTTCACAAAAGCTGAGCATTATCTACCTTGTATTCAGTTGTAAAAGCAGAATAACATATTTTTATTACTTCAAAGCTTCGAACAAAATTAAATTTTGGCATTAAATGACCCATGAGGAGTTGATGTGCTGTTAAACAAAGCAATAATTTTTTTTAAGTTTTAGAAAACTAATGATTGGATTCAAAGAAATATTTGCATAAAAATGTACAGGATATTTCATATAATATGTATAAATTGTCATAGATTATATATATATATATATATATATATATATATATATATATATAATCCTTCTTCTGATATAACAACAGTTTTATAAAATGTTAAAAGTTTGACATTATTAGTCAGCTTACTGAGAAGTGAAGAATCATTTTGTTGTAATTAAAAATCCTAATTACAGAAAGTGCTCAAATTTTACAAATACAGATGTTTTTAACCAATAATTGTCAACAATGTCATTGTTATGACAACTAATTTATAAAGACAACATTAATGCAAAATGGATCCTCCATATTCTGAAACTAATTTTAAATGCTGTTCAGCAATTAATTTTGTGAACTGTTGCATTTCTTCAAATGAAATATATTGCACAGTATTCAGAATATCAATCCAGAGATCATTGTTGCTAGTAAATTGCCATCCACAAGTCCAACGCTTCATTTTCAGAATGCTCTACAAGTTTTCAATCAGGTTACAATCAGGCAAGCAAATCAATTATTTCATGTGCTGGATTCTTCTTGAACTGTTGCTCCATGTGTGCCTTAAAAATTTCTGTTAGTAGCTATTCAGCCTCTGTTTCATCTGTCTGGCCCATCACGTGTAGGACAGCATTCAGTTAAATTAACAAACCTATCACTACTTTATCACTATTTCCATGGAACAGCAAAAAAGATAATGACATTACGGACAACAGCACTAAAAATAATAACAATGACAATAAAGTATATAAAAACAAACATCTAATACTACCTACTAACTCGTTAACCTCTACTATCCAAAACAATTGATCCAGTATCAAAATAATTAATACCACATCCAAAACTATTATGGATATGATCAGAATACTCATGACAATAATAATTCTGAAACAGGTATATATAAAATAAACTGTCACAACTTCTTATATATATATATATAAAGTAGTTTCAGATAGGGTGTATCTGTAAAGGAACAAAATTAATAAAAAGACAAGAGGAAAACTATTCTTAGCTGACATGTTTCATCCTCTGAGGGACTTTCAAGGCAATGTAGGATTTATTTTGTTGCATGTGTTTATATACAAAAGTAAAAAATTGCCATTGGTTTATCAAAAAATTTTAAATTTCAGAACATTCATGAATATTTATCAGGTGGTTGAAAGGTCAGTCAAAACATGTGGAGGACACAGTGCCATAATACAAAGTCTGGTGAAAAGAAAAGTGAGTAATATTCAAGAAATTCTTCTTTTTTTTTTTTTTTAAATGAATATTATTTAAATTGTGATTAGATTGTTATAGTGTGGGATGGATATATGTGTTGTACATCTTCAAAAACATGAGATAATGGATTTAACTATTTTGCTTTAGATTTTTCAACATATTTGTGGTCGTGTTTGTTAGCTTGAGAAAGTAGCACATTACCACCAAGAAGTACACAAACCGCTTGAACTCCACACAGTAAAACTACTATGTAGCAGCCACACACAGAATTTTGCCATTCAAAAACACATCCTTGATAATGGCTAGAGAATTAGCTGAAAGCCCTCAGAACAATTATAACTGTGGACAATTCCTATATTCTTTAACCTCTGAAAAATGGAAAAATGTTAGATTGCTGGAAAAACTCAATAAAAGATTAAATCTTCCTTGTCGGCTGTTTTCAATGAAATATATATATATATATATATATATATATATATATATATATATAGCATAGCATAGAAGTCTTGTAAAAATCATAATAGTGAAACCTCTAGTGAGAATCAATTTCATTAATAATAATATACTTGACTAATTTCCTAAACATTGCTATATGTTGTGCATTTTTATATTAATATATATATATATATATATATATATGTGCATGTGGGTGCATCTGTTGCTAAAAAGGCCTCAAAAGTCATACACACATTCATAGTTTATCCTCTTTGTTTATGAGAGATTACCATGATATAATTATTTTATTTATTCAGAATTTAAAAAAATATGCAATATTAAACTTTGTTCTGCTTCTACATGCAACAACGAAGGAATATTTTTAACATTAGAACATGCACAAATGTCTATTGACTAATAGTGTTAAAGCTTTTATGTATGCAGAAGTCAATGGTGAAAGCAGACAGAAGATGAAAAGAATAAGATATTTCACTAGAAGAGGCAGAAGAGGAAGACGTAAGACTAGTGAGGAAAATGATGAAGCCACAGATAGAAAAGAGGGAAGAAGGGGAGTTACAAGGGTGTTAAAGATGGTAAATAGAGAGGAAATCTCAGTGGTAAAGGAAAGAGGTAGTAGAAAAGGCAATGGGAGGAGGGTAAAAACATCATTGAACCAATAACTGACATTGTTCTGAAATAAAAAGTGTATTTCAATTGGATTAAATTTGGTCATAAACTCAACATGTTATTGGTCAGAATTTGGTAAATAGGAAGAATAATTTTAATTTTTATTTGTCAGACTGACTTGAACCAAATACAACGAAGCAGGAAGAAGAAAATAAGAATGTCTTCTAAGGCATTATTATTTCTGACAAATTCCATTTTTGTTTTCTTTTTTCTTCTGATCAAAATCCAACCAGCTTTCTCCTATTTTTTATCCTTCACATTTTCCCTTATTTGTTTGAGGCAAATGTTTACATTTTTTTCAATAAAATGTTATTCATATGAATTCATATCATTATTCAGTCTTTAATGTATTTTTCTTAATTTTATGCTACCTTTCTGTCCTGGGTAAGACGATAAACTACATCTGACAGCCAGCCCTCTGATTAGGAGGTTTCGAGAAGCATGGGACCACCTCTTAATTGCTGATGTTCCCAGGTCCACCCTGGCCTGGGGTGGTAGCACCTGTCAGGGTCCCAACTATGGGCAAATAAACCCCCCAAAAGGAGTCAAAACACCAAGAAAGTATAAAAATAGGTTTTAATACCAGCAATACTTTTTTGGAAAAATTATTACCAGCAGTACATTTTTGAAAAAGAAAAATATTACCAGTGATACATTTTTGGAAAAAAAATATTACCAGCAATAAAAATCTTGTCAGCATTAAATAACCCACTGAGGTTGATATGTTTTAAGGCAAAACAAATCAAGTCAAATTATGCTACCTTTCAGCTAAATTGTGTATTTCATCATAAAAAAAAATATTCCAATTTTGATTTAATCATTTCAATGATTTGTGGCTTTGAAAATGGATTCTTAAAATGTATATATTAATATATAATATATATAAATGTATGAAAATGGTGTAAGAAAAAATTACCCACTATAAAAGGATAAATTGAAAAATTATAACAAAAAATATGGCTTTTTCCCCAGTTTCAGAGTTTTATGTTGTTTTTTTTTAAACACCTTTCTTATGTCTTACCTTAATATTATTTTGGTTATATTTTTATTGATTGATTTGTTTTTTATGGCTTATCAACCCTTTGCAGGTTATTTAAAACCAGAAAATATTTTTAGATTGTAAGAATTTTTTTTGTATTTTGGGGAGATAATAATAGTTTATTTAAGTCTTACTAATTAACCCATAGCTGGGGGAGAAGCACTGGTTTCATACTTCCCAAGGCTATTTGCACATAAATGAATATAATATACTCAACAGGAATTGGAACTCAGCTCTCTGATTAACAATTCCAAACCATTATTCATTATGCCACTGACATATCCAAACTTACAGCATCTGGTATTCCCAAGTGGTCATCTATCCAGGCACAAACCAGGCTTGATGTTGCTTAACTTCAGTGATCGTACAGGAACCAATGTTTTAATCTGATATGACCATAAGCCTTATTTTAATTATTCCTGATATTATAACCAAAATATTAACATGAGACAAATTTTAACATCAAAATATTCTAAAGGACTCAATGCAAAGAAAGATTTCAAATTCTAGGAGCCAAGGTAATATGAGGAAAATAAGGTTGGTTTTAAAGAAGTTTAAAATATGTGACATATGCAACTATCTTGATATAAACAAAAATAAAAAAAATCATTAAATTATTTTATCAAAACTTGATGCATCTTGATTATATACGTATTAGGTAAGATCAAATATAGATCAGAATCTGACAAAATGATAGGATAAGGAACAAATAGGAAACATTTATAAATATGAAAGTGAACATTGAAGTCAACACTTAGAGGCGACAAGTTGTTTCATGCTAGACACCATTGTCAGGCCTGACGATTGCATCTAGCATGAAACAGCCTGTCGCCTCTAAGTGTTGACTTCAATGTTCACTTTTATATTTATATTTACATACACTTTATCTCCCATAAATATAGCACACCTTAAGAGTATATTTCTTTATAAATATATAAATTTCTAAACATTTCCTATTTGTTCTTTATTCCTTATCCTATATATATATATATAAAATAAAAAAGCTCAAACACTAATATTCCATGGTTATAATTTATTAAACTGGAATCATAATCACGATCCAATTCATTAGACTTACAAATTCAAAAAGAAATCGGAAAATATGTAAGACAGGTGTAATAGAAGAAAGAAGAACAGGAAGGCCTAAAGGTGAAGGTGGGGGTTAAAATTTAACAGAGAGAAGTTTTAAAGAGAGGAGTTAAATAACGGTTTAAATGAGTGAGATACAGATAAATATGAATTATTTTTCGATGCATAATTCGCTACCGAATTGCTGACCTACATTAAAATTAAAAAACAGACACCGGAAATGTGTATATACATTTGTGGTGACACTACGCACAATAAAAAACGATATGATCTAAACTTAAAAAAGATGAGAGAGAGGAAACAGAAATATAAATGATGGTGTGGTGGGGGAGCTAAAAACAAAGGGTATTTATAAGAGAACTGATGTGTAATAAAGAAAATTTGACAAAGGAAGTAATATCACCTACAGGTTACAAATTTAACATAAACATATAAAATCTAACTAATATTTTATCTAGTAAGGACCTATTATTTATATTCCCAAAAACACGTGTAGATACACACATACACAACAACATATCTATATCTACATGCACATACATATATATGCGTGTGCAAATATAGTAAGGACCTATTATTTATCTATCTCAATACACATAGACTCATGCATACATATACATATAGACATACACATATGTGCACATAAACATATCTACATAAAACCTTACAAACATCCATACATATACAGACACACACTCATATATATATATATATATATATATATATATATATATATATGTGTGTGTGAAAATATATAGAAAATAGGAAAGAACTCGTTAGGTAAATAATCCAAAGTTCTTTAGTATTTTTGTTATTATTTTTAAAAAACAGTGCTCAATAAAAAAAAAAAAAAATTTTGCTTGAAGATGGAACAGAGCTTGGTACTTTAATTCAATTTAATTCAAATAATTATATTGAAGTTTTCGGCTCTTGTTTTGAAACATGAGAACTTTATGTAGTGATGGAATCATATTTTTAAATAAATAATTATATATATATATATATATAAGACAAAAGGAAAACTTTTGGCCTCTCATGGACTTTATCAAGAAAAATGTATGCATTTTATGTTGCAGCAAATACTTGTTGCAACATAAACTCCGTACAATATACAAAAGTAAAAATGTTAGTTTATAAATATTCATAAAGTGAAAAGTTCAGGTAAATTATAGAAGATGCTAAAAGAATTAATTTAATGTCTAATAAACAATATGAAGCAGTCTTTAATGTGCATATATAAGACTTTTTTTTACATTGGTTTTATAATGAGATAATTTATGTAAAAATTTTAAAAAAGTGTGTGTATATATATATATATATATATATATATTACTTTGGTTCAGTATTTACCTTTAAATAAATTAAGTTATATATATTGTACAATGGTGTGTACATGTGTGTGTATACACATGTGTGCATGTCTGTTTGTGAATGTGCTTCTGTGTATGCACGTGCATTGTGAAAATGGGCTGAGAAAAAATGCCAAAGATACAGAAATGGCATTTTCACACAGAACTAGCTGCTTGATAAGAGATTTCAGATTTGTGATTCTATGTTTTGTCTGTCATTAATAGTTTTGTTTTTTCACTTCTCTTTTTCTCCCTTTTCTTTTTCTCTTTCTCTTTTCTTTCACTTTTCCCTCTCTTATTTTTCTTATACTTTCTTCTCTTATGTTCATCTCTTTTTCCTTTTTTCTTCACTTACTTCTCACCTTTCTCCTCTCTTTTTCTTCCTATGCTTATTTATTTCCTTTGTTTCCCTCTCTCTTTCAATTATTTTTATCTTTCCTTTCTCCTCTTTTTTATTTTCTTTCCTCTTTCATTCCTTCTCTCTTGCTTTTTTCCTTCTTTTACTCTTTCTTTTCTTTCTCTTTTCATCTTTCTTTCATTTCCAGTATCCATTCATTTTTTCTTTCATTTTTCTTTTTCATTCTTTATATTTCATTGCTTTTTCATTTTCTGTTTCTTTCATTCTTTATTTTGACTTGTGCTTTTAATTTCCTTCCCTTTCTTTATCAAATTTCTCTCTTCTTCCACTTTCTATCAATTTATAGCCTTTTTATTTCTATTTTTCACTATTTTCTTCCCTAGTAATTTTTTCTTTTATTGTCTTTTCTTTCTTTCACTCCATTTACATCTCTACTACTTCTTGTCTCTCTCTTTCTCCAACCCATCATCCATCAAATTCTGCCCTTTTATGTTCTTGCTTTCACTCTTAAAACTGATATTACATATCCATTCGTTTGTAAAAGAATTCAGATTTAATTTCTAACTTCCCCTGCCACAAGTTTCAAATTTACCTGGAATTAATATCTTTATACAAAGATTCTAGTATCAAAACAAAAAAAACTCTTACTAGAAATGTATATTGGGGATTTCTAGCTGAAAAAAGGATGGAGAAAGAAAGAGGCAGATAAGGATGAGTAAGTGAAGAAGGAAGGCCAGTAAAAAGAGAATTTGTGTGATCCTTCATTGGAGGATCTTACCCCACTGCAGACAGCATATTCTATATCCTGCCAACAGGGCCCCACTGTAGGTGGTAATTTTTAACTTCTTATTAAGTCTATTTTTGACAGCTTCATACCTCATTGATCATAACAAAAAAAATTATGGTAACTTTCTTTCAGGCCAAGTTTCTAGGCAGCGGGAGATGAAAGTCCTAACTTGTTTTATTGGCAATTTTCAGCCAGCATTGACCAGAGTGCTTGCAAATAAATTTCAGATAGACCATATAATTAAAAGGACAATATGAATAACAGCAAAAAGGAAAACTTATCTTAGCGGATATGTTTTGCCTTCTGTGGGACTTTATCAAGGCAAATGAAAGGATTTGTATTTATATACAAGAGCAAAAATGTTATTGGGCTTTTTAATTTTTTGAGTTTAGGAACATTCATAAATATTCCTATATATATATATATAACTTTTGAAAGTGAAGTCTGAAGATCCAGAGAAAATAAAATTCTCTGGTGAAATAAATTATTACAAATGGAGCCTTAAAGTGGTCTGTTTTTCTTTTTAAATTATATATATATATATATATATATATATATATATATATATATATATATATATATATATATGCACACATATTCCATTGAACAAAACTGACAAGGTACTTTGTTTTAAGATTTTTTATTCTGTTTTTCTTGCATGCATTCAAGTGTTTTTTTGGGTGGGGGGGGATCATGTTATGAACACCATTACAAGTGTACAAATGTGGATATTATAACGTGTTGGTGTGTAATGAAAGTTCTAATAACTCTTGTGCATCAATAAAGAAAAGAAAATCAAAATCAACATGAATTTCAAATATATTTCTAAATAAGTAAGAGATATTTATGCAAATGGTACATGCATGTTTGTTGAAGTTTCCATGTGATTGTTTGTCAGAGGCCAGCTCAGCACATTTTCTCCCATTAACAGTCAGTAGTTAAAAAGAGGGAGAGTTTCTTAATTGTCTGCCAAAGTGGACATGAGCCAGGGCTCTCATTGGCTTGTATATTGACCAATCACAGGAGTTGTTACAGCAATGCTATTAAAGAGACTTCTGGATTGGCCACTTCCTTTAATTTTGTTACAGACTTAATGTAAAAACTGTCCAAATGTTTGTTGATTTATTATAAAACAAAAGTCTTTTATCCCTCCTCTATTCACTCAATTTAAGGTGTTAATATCTGCTAATGAAGCAGAATGTTTTGCTTATAAACCCTTTTCAAATTCTACTCTTTACTCACCTGGAGTATCTTTGCCTGAATTTCCACTTAGAACTGAGTCTTTGTTGAGATTTATGCATGTAACTCTGTTCATGCTTTCTGCTATCATTTCTAAACTGGATTGCCTCAAAGGATATGGACTTGATGGTATTGTGGCGGACTTCACCACATTAATTTAACTTTAGATTAGGAAACAGGGTTCACACAGAAAAGGATAACCAAAAGACATTGTTACACATAAAATATGTATTTAACAAGATGTACAATATCAAACAACGATGTGAAGGAAAATATGCATTTAAGTAAAAAAGGTTGAATTAACTAAGAGTTGTCTCTCTTTAACTGTTATTTTAGTGTTTCAAAGTTCACTGGAAGAATGTTCATGAGAGTCTCTTGTAATGATTGTTCTTGAAAGATATTGCTGTGTAAGAAGAGTTTATGTGAGTGTGTACAAGGTATGTTCAGCATGTGAGTGGTGTGTGTGAGTGAGAAAGTTGGTGCATGGTTTCAACTGTCATGGATTCATTTGGCAGTTGAATTTCTCACTAATGAGATGAAAAAGACCTTAGCTCAAATAAGCGACTGTAGGCTCCAAATCGCTGCGCAGAAAGAATTATTCTTCACGTGCAAACGATTTGATTGGTTGACATTCACCAATCAGCAAGAAAGCTTTGGAGAGACTTAAGAAAGCTTCTGTGATCTGTTTCTCCCAAAAGTGCACAAAATTGACCACTTAAAAATAGAATGATAACAAAATTGTTGCATTACTGCGATTTGTAAATTGCCTATAATAACGTAGTGGTGATTAATTAACCAATGAATGCTTGGTGTTGTATGTGATTTGTATTTTTGTATGTATATATGTTCATGTGTAATAGATTCGCACAGTATCCCTACAAAAGTCCTTAATGTGCTCCTGAAATGGTTTCTGTTATATAATTAAAAGAAAAAAACTTGTAATTCCAACAAATGATTTATTTTTTTATGGAAATATTTCTTCTTTGTACTGTTTTTACTCAAATTAAGAAGTGACCAAGACTGGAAACTGCTAGCCAAAATATTTCCATAAAAAAATATATCATTCATTGGAATTACAAGTTTTTTTCTTTTAATTATGCAACTACCAATGGAGATAAGCATCCTAACTTTGGTTCCTGTTCTCTCTAAACATTTCAATAAATCCCTTGTTGCTTTTTGCTTTCCTGCTAGTTGGAAATCCTCTTCTGTAGTTTTAGTCTTTAAGAACACAGGTGAGCCATCTGTTCCTTCTATCTGCCTATTAATCTTCTACCTCTTTTTAGCAAAGTCCTAGATGTTCTAATCAACCCTGATTTGGTTAAGCATTTCATCTCGCAGTGTCTTCTCCTTTCAAGTAAAAGAGTGATTTGTTTTTTATGCCTTATCAACCTGTTTGAGGTTATTTAAAACTGAAGCATATTCTTGGATTATAAGAATTTTTGGGAGATAATAATGATTTTCTGATACACGTCTTACTATTTAACCCATAGCTGGGAGGAGAAAAGTTGGATTTATACCTTTCTCAAGGGATCTACACATAAGGGAATGTAACAAACTCAACTGGAGTTCAAACTCATCTCTCCAAGTTCTCATTCCAAGCCACATATCTAATTTTACAGCATCTGGGCAGTCACCCATCTAGACTTAACTGCTTAACTTTGGTGATTGAATGAGAACTATGTTTCAACATGATATGGTCATAAGCTTCTTTCAGATAAGCAATATGGCCTTTGCTTCTATAAGTCAACTACTGATGTATTAACAATTATTACTGAAAGTATCTATCAAGTTTTAGATAGGAATAGTGAAACTCTGGCTGTTGCTTTGGACACATCTCAAAGGCATTTGACAGGGTTTGGTATACTGGTCTTTTTGACAAGTTGAGAGGTTATGTGTGACACCCACCGGTGGTCATGGTCGCAGTCCAGCGCCAATATATGACGTCCACTTGTCACGACGTCAATATATGACACTGCGCCGTTGGCCCGTGGTCAACTCCCAGTTGCGGTGCAAAGCTGTAAGGTGTCTTCCACCAGCGTTTTGGGGTGGACTCCTTGTCACTGCCACCAGCCTGTGTCTCAGTCGATCCGGTTGTTTCCGGTTCGATATCAGCTTTGTTGTTCTCAGCTCGCCTCTAATGCTTGGTCACTGAAGTAACTGCTTTGATCTCAAGTCTAACCTACCCACGTTATGACTTTGATCTTAGGTAGATGAAATCAATCAGGCGTCAGGGCGTAGTGCAAGCTGAATCCAGGGTAAAGGTGATACCGCACAAGTGTAAGTAAAAGAAAAATAATAAAACAAACTCATGAGGTTCAAATATGTTGAGAAATAACAATTAACTTTAACTATCTGTTGAATACAGGAGTGTGTTTCTCTCCCGGCCTGTTTTTATGGATTTGTGATACTTTTTGCGTTTCTTAAGTGAGTTATAGTATCTTAAGTCATTGGTCAATAAAAACTTGCTTTTGGTAGGAAGACTAAGTCAAAAAGGATGTGGAAATCTTTTGGTCAGCTTCTGCAAGGCAACACTCTGACTCTAACTCCGACCATGTCTGGCAACTCTAAACTGTGTCCATCTGCCTCAAGATGTTCATTTATATGGACACCGACCAACTCTGGGGTGGGGTCTGACGTGGTTTGGGTTCTTTGACAATTCTCAATTCCCATCAAGAATTTTCTTTGTTCTTAGGCCAGGAAAATTAATTACTTCCCATTTTTGGAAGATTAATCACTTTCTATTTCGAGGGTTTCTCCCTCGTCTGTGAGGGAAGGTCAGAGGAGAGTTATTCTCCTAGACTCTTCCTCTCTCACATTGATATCTCATACCAATCCCTTCAGTGGGTGTTAACAACTTCTCCATCTTTCTCATACATTCACCTCCGCCTATCACTCAACGCTACCAGTTGGCCAATGATCTCTCAGCAGTGTGGGCATGGCTAAACTGGCCCTCTTAGAATTATTATTGAAAATTCTGTTTACAAAATCTTTTTTTCCTTTTTCCTTTTCCTTCGGCCAAAACATTTACAAATCCCAGATTGCCATTTATTTCCTTATCCCATTCTAAATCCACTTAGCTCGGACCTCTATCGACTCATTAATCACTGTCAAGAAACCTGACATTTGGGTTCTTCACTGGTCAACATTCAACCGGGTGGCCATGCCCACCCGACAATTAAATTCTTTATTTTTCTCATGTCTTAAAATTCTCTTATCACCAGTTTACGAGACAGCAGTTTGAATAAGCAATAATAATGATCCCCTTTTCGACTTTCTTTTTTTCATGTCAAGATTCATACATAGACCAGATGGCTTCCCTCGGAATCAGGAATTAAAGTCAAATGATATCTCTGAAAGACAATCAATGGCCACTCTCCAGGGTCGTCCCAAGCCAAATTTCTTCCATGGTCGCATGCGTCGGCCACCTTTGTTTATCTTTCAGAATTCTGTTTCATTTGACACATCACTCCCTTATCGTGACATTAATTAATTTGACAGAATCACAGTCTTGCTCCTTCTTACTGATTTTCTGTCTTTT